AGCACAAGATAGAGCCACAGCTTTGAAGTGTTATGCACTGTGTTAAGAGCTAGAGAGGTGTGGCTTAATATGCATAATAATGCTATCTATGATAATGGATTATGCCTTGATCATACATTTTATAGAGTAATGCAGTAATGCATGCTATCAAGAGTATAATGATGGTGATGCTATGGACTATGAATGACCCATAAAATTAAAAATTTAATATCATTATTTCACACAAAAATTAAGTGGCTCATATCATAAAATTAAGAATTTAATATCATTATTTCACACAAAAATTAAGTGGCTCATATCATAAAATTAAGAATTTAATATCATTATTTCACACAAAAATTAAGTGGCTCATATCATAAAATTAAGAATTTAATATCATTATTTCACACAAAAATTAAGTGGCTCATATCATAAAATTAAGAATTTAATATCATTATTTCACACAAAAATTAAGTGGCTCATATCATAAAATTAAGAATTTAATATCATTATTTCACACAAAAATTAAGTGGCTCATATCATAAAATTAAGAATTTAATATCATTATTTCACACAAAAATTAAGTGGCTCATATCATAAAATTAAAAATTTAATATCATTATTTCACACAAAAATTAAAATAGTGGCTCATATCATGCACAAATATAAATCAATTACCAGTATTAATAAACTGTATCTCCACCAATTTACCAGACGTCTTGGCAAGAATATCAGCAATATCTTTCAATTCCTTTTCGTCAGGTCTCCAGTCAAAGATGTAACTAACTGTTTCACATTTAACGGAAGGACTTGTATTGACAGCATCGAACTTCTCCTTCAAGCAAAGATCAACTGACAGTGAATGGCATGACTCTTCAAGTTCTTTCTTGTATTGTTCAATGTATCTTTCAGCTTCAGTGACTTCAAATTCTTCAACTACAGTTTCTAACAGTTCAATATCAGTCAATGAACACTCTCCTTCAATCACATGTACTACACTCGATATATCATTGCACTCAGCTAGCTTTGCCTTTACATTGGAATTGCATGAAATTATTAGCAATTTTATGTCCTCTATAACAGGAGGTTTCTTCAATATAGCTTTGTGTACTTTATACTGCATCCTTCCAAATGAAGCTCTTATTGAACTGAATTCTTGTGATATACTCATTGAAACAGGAATCTCAACTATATGTACATAATCGTAATTATATATAATAATAAATAATTATTACCTTTAACATGTTCATAAATAATAGGAAGATGCTTATCTACAATAAACAGACAAGACAAGGCAAAATAAAATCATTCATTATAGATTCCTCACCATAATCTCGCAGCAATGACTTTCCTAGCTGTACATTATCAGTGAACTTGCACAACACACTAGCAAATGTTTGTAGTAAACTATACTTGCTTTGAATAGCTTCTCTAATGGCAGCTAACAGGACTTCACGTTGATTAGGAACAGAGGGACTAGCTGATTCCACACTAGCCAATACTTGTCCTGTTATGACACCCTCTCTTTGAAGCAACCTAGCTAAACTGACAGGATCAGAGAGAGACTGAGAGAGGAGTGGATAGTAACTGTTATATAAACTAACAGCCAGAGCAGGTAGTAGTTCTATATAAACACAGTACAATACTAATAGTGATAGTATCAACTTACTTTCTTGATTTAACTTCTCAGCTACAGCAGTTTCATTCATAGATTTAAGAGCATCTGACAGTGAGTCAAAGGTAGCTCCTCCTCTACTGTCAACATTATCAGCTCTACGTAGCCATTGGGAGAGGCACTCTGTCATACAGCGAGATACATCACCATGGTGCTTCATTTCAATAGCATCCAGTGTATTCTTGCTTAGTCCTAGTCTCAGTCCAAGCTCATGCCAATTTGTATCTGGAAGACTACATCTCTTCAATAAATCAAGAAGATCAACCAGATCTATAATAATGCATAATAATAATTATTATTACACGTCTTTATCATGGTAAAGTAACTAATATGTGCATAT